GCTTCTCAGCTTCAACAGGTGCTAATTCTGCTCTACATAACATCATCTCATGGAATTTTACTTCTACTTCACTTGTTGATCACGAATCTCTAGCTCTTTCTGGCCAAGAAGAAACAAAAGATGAAACTCCAGTTCCGGCGCCAGGCCCTACTTCTAAATTCAAGGCAAGAAAACGCAAGAAACCACTAGCTGTTGTGATCGGTAGTAGTATTGGTGGATTTATCTTGGTATGTTTCTTAGGTTTGGGTTTGTACAACTCGTGCAAGAAAAAGGCAACAAGAACAACAACTGATGGAAATCCAAATGACTTGATTCACGAATTCGAAGGGACCTCCTCCTTGAAGATATTTCCGTACGAGGAGTTGGTTTTGGCGACAAGATATTTTTTTGAGGGAGAAAAGCTTGGGGAGGGAGGATCCGAAGTGGAAATTTACAAAGGCTACATGACATACTTGAACTCATATGTTGCTGTTAAGAAGATATCAAGGGGAGCTAAACATTGGATTGATCTGTATGCACAACAACTACGGATAATCAGTCAATGTAGGCATCGGAATCTGGTGCAACTCATTGGTTGGTGCCATGAAAAAGGAGAACTCCTACTTGTCTACGAGTTCGTGCCCAACGGCAGCTTAGAGACTCATTTGTTCAAATCAGAAAGCTTGTTATTTTGGGAGTCAAGGTACAGAATTGTTCTAGGCATGGCTTCGGGGTTGCTCTATCTACATGAAGGTGGGCGGCAACCTCTGTTGCACACGAATATCAAACCGAGCAATGTTATGGTGGATTCTAATTTCAACGCAAAACTTCGGGATTTCGGGCTCGGCCACAGAAGAGAGCCACAGATGATAACCACAAGCTACACGGCTCCTGAATATTTCATTGGACCGTTAAGAAACAAATCAGACGTCTTCAGCTTCGGAATTGTTGCTTTGGAGATTTCCTGCGGAAGAAAGCTCATCGATCCAAAATTTGAAGGTAGTCAAGTCGATATGGTAGAGTGGGTTTGGGAGCTTTATGTAGAAGGAAAAGTTATCAAAGCAGCTGATCCAAAATTGCATGGAGATTTCAATGACAAACAAATGGAGTGCTTGTTGATTGTAGGGCTTTGGTGTGCTCATGAAAATTATATTTTAAGACCTTCAATGCGACAAGCATTTTGCGCCCTAAACTTCGAAGATCCATTACCCATTCTCCCATCAAGGATGCCTATGGGTACGTCTCCTCCTGCAACAACGCTTTCAAGGTCGCCTAGCACTATTGGTTCTGAAGGAGGGCAAATGGAGTCTGGTTATGGTAATGCCACCAATTGCTCAGAGATCACTGAATCTTCAGCAATGGAGTCTGGCTATGGTAATGCCACCAATTGCTCAGAGATCATTGAATCTTCAGTAGTTGAGTCTGGGAATGCCACCAATTGCTCAGAGATCACTGAATCTTCAGCAATAGAGTCTGGCTATGGTAATGCCACCAATTCCTCAGAGATCACTGAATCTTCAGCAGTGGAGTCTGGCTATGGTAATGCCACCAATTGCTCAGAGATCACTGAATCTTCAGCAATGGAGTCTGGCTATAGTAATGCCACCAATTCCTCAAAGATCACTGAATCTTCAGCAATGGAGTCTGGCTATGGTAATGC